GAATGTTTTTTTGTCCTGTCCTGTTTTTCACAACCTGGGCGTCTTAAATATGGGGGGCCTTCACCCCCCAAATTCCCCCAGCAGGCTTGGCTGGCTGGGGAATACTGGGAGTTGAAGTCCACACATCTTCAAGTTGCCAAGGTTGAGAAACTCTGGTCCAGCCTATGTGCCTTTTAGACCTCACCAGTCTCTTGCTCAGTCATAAAAGTGAATTCTGTTGCTTTTGGAAATTTGTATAAATCAGCTCTGAGCCCTTCAGTTTTTCAGCAGGATAGCTCATGTCAAGTTCTTGTACATTGGCTTCACAGCTGCCAAAGAATTGGATTTTCCCCTCCCCTTGTGACTCTATAATGGCATTTGAAAATCTTTGATTAAAAAAGTATTTATTTTTGGAATAAAGAAAACGCGTCTTACATAAAAGGCTTTCGTCTTGATTTACTCTTAAAACAGTTTGGTTGTGAAATGTGACACGTAGTAGATAACGTTTTCCTCAAACTTAAGCCAGAATATAAGCAAACAGTTGCTTTCTTCCATATGAGGCTTTAGCAATGAATAATTTAAGATAACTCTTAAGTTCACTCCAGATAAGTTTGTTCTAGTAAAACAGTTAGTAGGATTTTCAGACAGCATCCATGAAGCAAGAAATATATCTTTAGAATAATTTCGATTTATTAACTGGCAAATTTAAAAAGTGTCTAAACTTTTTAAAAAAGTCCTGAGTGCTTTTCTAACATCATCGAGACAAGGCAAACTTTAAGGTATTCTGTTTCCAAATAGTTTAAGTTTCTAATCAGCATTGGAAGAATCATTGCAATCCAGTGTAATAGCGGAGTTGCTTGTTTCCAGTTATTAGCTCTGATTTACAAGCTGGTTGCAGCACTGAGCCAGATGAAGTTTTCAGATTGCTCTTCAAACAGCCTGCATTAGTCCTGCCGAACCTGGTTTAAAAGAATGCATTGGCTGTGCTTCTCTATCATGAGAGCCAGTTTGGTGGAGTGGTGAAGGGGCTGGCCTAGAACCCAGGAGACTGAGAGTTCTAGTCCTGCCTTAGGCATGAAAGTGTCAGAGTATCCCTAAAATAGGGGCTCCAAACCCTTAAAAAGATCCCCAAATAAAGCCAACCCCTAAATTTGGCTGGGCTCATTTTGGTGACTTTTACAAAAGTAAAAGAATGAAAGTTGAAGCGGAAATGTAGCCCTTCACATTCTCACTTAGGAACAAGACCAATATGGGGTGAGTTCACTCCATGCTAAACCATGTTTTGTTGAATAAGCCCTATGACTCGACTCACAATCCTGTTAAGCCGAGTACCCAAAAAACACATGGGCTGGTTGTGAACATCATACTAAGCCTTAATGTGGTATGTATGGCTTTAGCTTCAGGCATTGTGTGAACTGTTTGCCCTTACAAAAAAAATACCACATTAAAGGAATTGCTTTCATTAGAAGTGCAGTGGTTGATAAGTGATAAATAATCACCAGCAGTAAAAAAAAACAAACAAACAAGACAATATCCACATTTGCTGGTCAGAGATCAATCTAACACACTTTATTTTAAAAGAAAGTTCCTGACTTGCCCTATAGAAACTAAAAAAGAAAAGCATTTCAGCAATAGAACTTTCAAGCTGTTTCTTTTTTAACATGAAGGGATGGCAAGAGAATGGAGGGATTTATTAAAATCGTTTTAACAGAAGAGTCACACTGCTCTTTCTTCCAGCCACATCATACGATCAAACCACCCAAAGTGCTTATTGCCTGATAAATCTACTTTACATATATTTCTAACCATCGTTCCCCTTGCACAAATCCATTTATAGCCACGATGTTATGACTTGGAACACATTCTTAGCATGACTCCTATCGTGACTCCAAGCATTTAAAGGGGCAAGGTTTTTGTAATTTTATTATCTTCCAGTTCAGAATTTTAAAAATGAGGATGTAGGAAAATGGCTATTTTAGTTTTACATTATTGAACATCTCTCAGGACTCCCTTTCCCCTCTCTTCCCTTCCCTGCAATTTGTAACTGTCTAAAACAGGGTTCCTTAACCTCAGCAACTTTAAGATGGGTGGACTTCAACTCCCAGAATTCCCCAGCCAGCATCCCCAGCATTTTTTAAGTCCAGAATAGCCAGATAACATTTGGAAGTGGCTCAGTCAGACACCACCCTGATTCACTGAACCACAGGAAGGAGTAGCATTAGGAAATGGAAGCAATGCTACCAAAGATTTCTGCTTGGAGTATGTTATATATTAGGGGAGGCTGCAAGCTAGTCGCTTCTTTACATCCTCTAGCTCATGGGAAAGAGCCCATATCACTACTGTTGGATTACAGCTTATAGTAGCCTCAGTCAGCCAGGCAAAGAAGAGATGTTGGAACATTGGAAGGATCCCTGCAGTTCCATCCTTGTATAAGGTCTTTGCTGAGATCACAATCATCCTTTTGTTCCCCTTCCAAAAAGGACAGACAGGTAGTCCTCATTTAGTGACTGCCTCATTTAGTGACCATTCAAAAATTATGACAGTACTAAAAAACAACTTAGTGGCCAGTTCTTGCATTTACAACCTTTGCAGCATCTCTCTGCTCTTATTTCACATGCTTATTTACCCCATGCCAAGATGTCCTCAAAGAGAAAGAGAAAGAACCCAAGTTCAGCTGAAGGAAATACAGATAGTCCTCATTTAACAACCACAATTGGGATCAGCATTTAGGTTGCTAAGTGATATGGTCGTTAAGCGAATCATCACATGACCGGACCCGATTTTACAACCTTTTTGCAATAGTCTTTAAGTGAATCATGTCATTAAATGTATCATGTAGTTCCCCATTGATTTTGCTTGCTGGAAGCTGGCTGGGAAGTTTGCAAATGGCAATCACATGAACCTGGGACACTGCAACCGTCGTAAGTATGAGCTGGTTGCCAAGCGCCTGGATTGCAATCATGTGACTGTGGGGGTGCTGCAATGGTTGTAACTTTGGGTACCAGTCATAAGTCACATTTTTTAGTGCCATTGTAACTTTGAATAGTCACTAAATGAACAGTCGTTAAGTGAGGACTCCCTATAACAAGAAGCAAAGGAAAACTGAAGTAAAATTGTAAGTACAGTCATGGTCACATGATTTTCACTTAGCAGCTGCTTCACTCAACAACAGAGTTGTGGGTCCCAATTGCGGTCACTAAACAAGGACTACTTGTATACTCATGTAGAATATCAGATCTGCAGCACACTTGATAGTAATTCATTATTTCAAAGTGTCAGGAAAATATTTATGAAGAAGGAGGATTGGATCTCATGAAATAATTCATCAGCAGGGTAGAGAGCTCTGATACGCGTACCTCTGCCTTGCTGGAATCCTGCTTGGGGCAGGGTGGGAGGCATGAGAGAGGAATGACAGATGCCCATTTTCTCTTTCTTCCGAAGACATTTCTTAAAAGTTGAAATCAGAGGCAAACAACATTTGGTGTTGGGATCACAGTTAGCTTTTTTTGTGGGAGGGGGCATGGGCTGCATGGTTGGGATGAGGGTTCAAAGAGGAGAGAATCAGACAAGATTTTACTCGATCCTCCATTTTTAGATGGGTTTGATTTTTTTTCTTTTCACTCTGTAAGTCCTAGTTTAGGACTTGCACAGCAGTTCATACGCATTCTTCCTTCAACATGGCAGGGTTCTTAGTAACATCAAAAAAACTCAGCAGCGTAATCAAGAAAAGCTCTCAAGAACTTCAAAAAGTGGTTCAGAGGACACAGGTTGAGCAAAGCTTGATTTATTCGAAATTCTTCCCATGGGAATTATTGGAATAGATTCAGAGTAGGTATAGTTCAGAGGTATTAAGCCAAGAATGTCAATGGGAAGGGAGGGTCAAACAAGTCAAGATGGCAGCTTCACCCTTTTTTACATGTGTCATACAGGCAGTCCTCAAATTATGACCATTCATTCAGCGACTGTTCAAAGTTACGATGGTGTTGAACAAAGGGACTTACAGCTGGTCCTCAAAGTTCCGGCTGTTGCAGCACCCCTACAGTCACGTGAACAAAATCTGGGTGCCTGGCGACCAGCTTGCACTTATGACCAGTTGCAGCGTCCTGTGGTCATGTGATCGCCATTTGCTCCCTTCCCTGCTGGCTTCCCTCAAGCAAGTCAATGGAAAGCTGGCAAGGAAGGTGGCAAGTCGCTGGGGTAAGTCTCCCCCCCACCTTTCTCCTCTTGCATGCACTGCACCCTTCTTCCCCACTTCACTTGCATGCACTCTGTGCCCTCTTCCCA